CAGGGAAGGGAACGGAGCTGGGGAAGGGGCTGGAACAGCAGGAGTGGCTGAGGGAGCTGGGGGGGCTCAGCCTGGAGAAAAGGAGGCTCAGGGGGGACCTTCTGGCTCCCTGTAATTCCCAGGAAGGAGGTTGGAGCTGGGGGGGTGAGTTGGGCTCTGTTCCCAGGAAACAAGGGACAGGAGGAGAGGGAACGGCCTCAGGCTGTGCCAGGGGAGGGTCAGGTTGGACAGTGGGACAATTCCTTCTTGGAAAGGGTTGTCCAGCCCTGGCACAGCTGCCCAGGGCAGTGCTGGAGTCCCATCTCCAGAGGGATTTCAAAGCCCTGAGGATGTGGCACTTGGGTCTTAACACCTTTCCTTCTCCATCAGTGCCGTGACGTACCCACGGAATTTTGTTGAGCTGCTTCCCACCAACAAGCAGCACCCAAAATCAGCACGAGCATCCCAAAACCAGCCAAGCAAATCCCATCTGCTTCCACGCTGCTCCACTCCCTCCTCTCCCACACACAAACACACAAACTCCTCGTCGGTGGCCGCCACCCCCCCAGCACTCCGGCCTCGTTTTTCCCCGCTGTTCCGAAGGTCCCTCCCCGGGGAGCTGCACGTTACCTCCTCTTGCTGTTCATACTTTCCACTTTGGACCAGGAATCCGTCTCTGGGTTGTAGACCTCCACGGTGCTGAGCCTGAGCTGGCCGTCGTAGCCGCCGATGGCGTAGAGGAGCCCGTTGACCACGGCGACCCCGACGCGGCTCCGCGCCGTCGTCATGGGCTGGCACTTCTCCCACCGGTTGGCAATGGGGTCAAACACCTCCACCACGTTCAGGGAGTCGCCTGCGTAAAAATTTGCTACCCAAATTAAAAGAGGGAGAGCTGGTGAAGCCCTGGGAACCTGAGGGAACCCCTGGTTTTCTCTGGGAAAACATCTGGGCTCTGCTAGGATGGGATGGCATCCAGAGGGACCTGGTCTAGTGGAAGGTGTCCGTGCCCGTGCCATGGGGTGGGATTGCATGATCCTTAAGGTCCCTTCCAACCCAAACCATTCTGGGATTCTGTGCCCTTTCCTGGGCCCTCACATCCTATTCCAGCCTATCTGCTCCCACAGAGCCAAGGCAGAGGCATTTCCCAGTCACTTTCCAGCTCTCCCACACAGATGCTGCTCTGAACAATTCCCACAAAACACACTCCAGTACTCCAAAAGGTCGTGGAACACTTCCCAGCTTTCCTGTGCTCTGCACCAGGAGCCTCGACGAGTCCCAGGCTGTGGAAGTGGCACCTCCAGTGCCCTCCAAGGGGCAGCAGAGACCTGCAAGTCCCATCTGTGCTGTCGCTGCTTCACGTTTCCCTGAACACTTTCTGTTCCCTTTTTACACCGTGGTCTGGCCCCTGTGAATATGTGGTGACTGCACATGTGATCCCACAATCCCAACAACATCCCAGAGACACCTCCAGGTCCTCCTTGGAGTTCCAGGCAAGGACACATCAAGAATGTGCCCTAAATAAACCTCACCAGGGCAGGATTTGAGTTGGAAGACGTTAAACTACAGGCACACCTTGGGAGTTCCATTGGAAGGGCCGGGAGGAGGAATCGCTCAACGCTCCAACCTGAGGGAATTTCCCCCTCCCATGGTCCTTCCCAGCTCCCAGTGGCCTTTCCACTGCAAGGTACCTGCCGAGTTCAGCCCTCCCACGGCGTAGATCAGCCCAGCTATGGACGTGCAGCACCGGGGGCGCGTCTTGAACGCCGGGAGGTGCGGCCGGCGCTCCGGCATGAGGTGGTAATCCTTGGCTTCGTCCACCAGATCCCTGGAATCCAGTGAGTCGGGAGTTAAAGAGGAGCTCTGGAGGCAAATTTAAGCAGTGACCCCATGCCCCAGGCTCACCTGCATTTGTGGCAGCAGCGCACCAGGTCGTCCTGCTGGACGCGGTCCGTCAGGAATTGCGGCCGGCACAGCGGGAGGCGGATCTTGGAGAGGAGCTCGGGCAGGAAGGATTCCCTCTGGTCTCGGTCGTACCGGATCCAGGCCAAGGCAGCTTCAAACACCTTGGGAGAGAGGGGTGGGAAGTTGGGAGGTTTGGGTTTTGCTGCTGGCGCCACTTGATTGATGGAAAAAGAAATGACATGGAATCAAAAAAAGTAGGATCCCAGAGTGGTTTGGGATGGAAGGGACCTTAAGGATCACCCAGTGCCACCCCCTGCCATGGGCAGGGACACCTTCCACTAGCCCAGGTTGCTCCAAGCCCCATCTAACCTGTCCTTGGACTCTTCCAGGCATCCAGGGGCAGCCACAGGTCCTCTGGGAAATCCATTTCAGTCCCTCCAAACCCTCACAGCCAACAATTCCTTCCCAATATCCCCTCTATCCCTGCCCTCTGGTACTGGGAAGCCATTCCCCCTTGTCCTGTCCCTCCATCCCTTGTCCCCAGTCCCTCTCCAGCTCTCCTGGAGCCCCTTTAGGCCCTGCAAGGGGCTCTCAGCTCTCCCTGGAGCCTTCTCTTCTCCAGGTGAACCCCCCCAGCTCTCCCAGCCTGGCTCCATAGAGGTTTTTTCTCCGCCTCCAACTTATCCTGCAACAATCCCGGGGGATTGTACATTTAACACAAGTGTTTGCAGGGAGCTGAAGGAGCTGTGAAGAGAATTTTGGCAGAGGAGGTGGGACAGAAGCAAAATCTTATTTATTTAATGAGAAAAACCAGCAAACTGGGAAAGCAGAAAGGGAATGCTGCTGCTCCATGAAAAATCAGGAGATAGGTTTGATGACAGGGATCCATCTGCTCACTTTTCCTCCATTCTCCCCCTCTTCCCTCACTTTACTTTTTTTTTCCCTATTTTTCTCTTTTTTGACCCAATTTTTTCATCCCTTCCCCATTTTTCCACCTTTTTTTGTTCTTTATTGACTTTCCTTAATTCTTGCCAGTTTTCCCTATTCTTCTTAATTTTTCTGCTTTTCTCTCCACTTTTCCCTTTATTTTCTATTTTCCCCCTTATTTTCAACTTTTTTCTGTTTGCTTTCCCCTGTTTTTCTCTCTATCCTTGGTTTTCTCCGTTTTTCCCAATTCTGCTTCTTTTTTTGCTCAATCTTTTCCTTTTCTTCCCACGTTATCCCTTTATTCCCGTTTTTCCCCATTTTACTTACTTGCCTATTTTCCCCCCCTTTCTTCCCACTTTTCCTTCTGTTCTCCCTCTTTCTTTTTATTTTCCCTGTTTGCTTTTCCCGCATTGTCTTTCCTTGATATTTTTTGTTTGTTTGTTTTTCCATTTTGTTTTTCCATCCTGTTTTTCTGCTTTTTTTTCATTTTTCCCTTTTTTCCCCCTCATTCTTCCCTTTTTTCCCCCCCTCACTTCCACCATAGCTCTGTCTACCACCTCTTATTTTTCCCCACTGTTTTCTCCTCATCTTCCTTCAGACCAGGAATAGCATCATTCCCATTCCCAAGGCAAACCCTGCTCCAGGGGACACACCTGCTCTTCAGACTTCACGTTGAGCTCATCCCTGGAAACGAGCTCCAGGACGTCCTCGAAGGGCAGGGCCAGGAACTCCTCGGACATGGAGACCTCCACGAAGTGCTGGTGGATGAAGCTGTTGGCGGCGTCGTAGAGCACCGCGCACATCATGGTCTCGGCGAACTGCCGCACCCCCAGGCAGTTCTTGGGATGGAGCCTTTGGAAAAGCAGGGACAGGAGGGCAAGAGGAATGTCATTTCGATGGAAGAGAAGCTGTGGCTGCCCCATCCCTGGAAGTGTTCCAGGCTTGGAGCAACCTGGGCTAGTGGAAGGTGTCCCTGCCACCCTGGATGATCCTTAAGGTCCTTTCCAAGCCAAACCATTCCATGACTCCATGGAGCAAGAGAAGCAGGTTCCAGCTCCCTGAACTGACCCACACGGAGATCTCCAGGTGAATCCACGGCAGAGCCAGAGGATGGGAAACACAACTTAAAAATGTTCCCTCAGCCCTGCCAAGGAGGCACTGGACAGACCCAGGTGGCTCTGGGGCAGCCACAGCTTCTCTGGGAAATCTATTCCAGTTCCTCCTCACCCTCCCAGCCAACAATGCCTTCCCAATATCCCATCTATCCCTACCCTCTGGCAGTGGGAAGCCATTCCCTGTGTCCTGTCCCTCCATCCCTTGTCCCCAGTCCCTCTCCAGCTCTCCTGGAGCCCCTTTAGGCCCTGCAAGGGGCTCTCAGCTCTCCCTGGATCCTTCTCTTCTCCAGGGGAACCCCCCCAGCTCTCCCAGCCTGGCTCCAGAGCAGAGGGGCTCCAGCCCTGGCAGCAGCTCCGGGGCCTCCTCTGGACTCTCTCCAGCAGCTCCACGTCCTCCTGCTGTTGGGAGGGGTTCTCACATGAGGATGACTCCAAGGGCTCCCACAGATCTTGGTTACAACACAGCTGCCCAAAAATGTCCCAAATCTCACTTCCACTTCAGGAGGAGAGCTCGGTGTCCATGTCCCAGCTCCCCAGGATGGGGAGAATCCTCTAGTTTTCCTGTTACTACCCAAATTCACAGCTGGGCACTCAAATCCAGGAGCTCACTTAGGACACCTGGCTGCTCCTGGGAGATCTGGGAGAATTTTGGTGGCAAATCCCTGTGTTTGATGGGTGTATTTAATGTCACTCCATAGAATACACTGAGCAGCTGCAGGGAAGCCAAGCTGGGGAAACTAAACCCGTCAGACTCCCTGGCACGGGTGGAGAATCCATGTGGTGCTTTTCCAAAGAATATCCCAGCTTTCCATTTCCAGATCATGCTGCTGGAACAGTCTCACGGCCAAACACCAGCGGCGAAATCGAAAAACCTGGGAGCAATTTAAGGCTCTGCCACAGTTTCCTGTGCAGCTCCTGGGCTGAGGCACTTTGTTCCCTCCCTGGAACATGCACAGCAGCAGGAAGGGCAATTCCTGCCCGGATGGGTTCTTGGAAAGGGAATGATTCCCTCCATTTTGCTCGGGATATCAACTCCTTTGGCTGGCCAAGGTCTTTTATTGTGTCCCAGCACCTCACAAGCCTGATAAGTTATTTTATAGGGAATGAGAATGACAGGAAAAGGGGGAATGGCTTTAAGCTGAAAGAGGATAAATTTAGATGGGATGTTGGGAAGGAATTCCTGGCTGGGAGGGTGGGGAGGGCCTGGCACAGGTTGCCCAGAGAAGCTGTGGCTGCCCCTGGATCCCTGGAAGTGTCCAAGGCCCGGTTGGAGCAACCTGGGCTAGTGGGAGGTGTCCCTGCCCATGGCAGGGGGTGGCACTGGATGAGTTTTAAGGTGCCTCCCAACCCAATTTGTGATTCTATAATTCCACAAATGACAAGTTTTGGGATCCAAACACCTCCTCATCCCACTGGCAGGGGACATCCTGGCCCTCCCACGCCCGACACAGGTGACTAAAGCCTTGCTGCTGTTGGGGAGCAGCCAAAACCCCCCCAGGAGATCCCCCCCCTTACCTTTCCCTAAGGAATGTACAACAGGCATCCTTGATGTTCTGGAGCTGCAGGAAACTGGCCCCCATGAGCAGGGACTGCACGTTCTGCTGGTCGATGGCCAGGTGCCCGTTGTAGGCGAAGTTGATGAGAGCCTCCAGCGCACTGAAAACGGGGAGAAAGGGCGGGAATGCCACCGAATTCCAGCTGGGACGGGGCTCTACCCGCAGCACAGGGTTTGCTGGGAGCACCGTGGGGTGTCCCTGGGGTGTCACCTGGGATCCATGCCCTGCATGACGATCTCCTCCTGCTTGCACTCCATCATGTCGTTGGTGAACATGGCGTGGAAGTACGGGATGGACGCCGCCAGCACGATCCGGTGGGCGCTGAACTTGTGGTCCCCCACCTGGAAAACAGGGAAAAGGGGCGGGAGGAGGGATCAGCAGGGATCGGCACCGCCCACTGCCGAGATTCCCGGCGGCACAGCTCCGCCGGTATCCAAGGATTCCAGGCAGGTCTTTGCTCCCATTAATTCCCTCTGTCGGTTCAGCGCCTTTTTCCCTAATTTCCATGGTAATCTGACTCATCCCACTCCGTGTCCATCGGAGATTTTTTCCCCTTACTTAAGCAAAATGTTCCCATTTGAGCTTTGTTTTATGGGACGAAGCAGCTGGCACAGCAGGTTCTCTGCATTCCAGGTTATCCAAGGATTCCTTCTCCTCTACAAAACCCTTCACTCCCCTTTCATCTTGAGGATTTCCATGATTCCCAGCAGTGCCTTCCCTCTCCCTCTGGGCCTCTGGTTTGCACACCCAGCAAACACAAACTTCCTGGGAGTCTACAAAGCAAAATTCCTGCCAGATGGAAAAAAAAAGAGGGGCTTTTGGAGAGCCTTGTCTTTGCCCTGGGCAGCCCTGAATCCCTGTCCAAGCTTCCTCTGTGCCTGGAATACGCTGCACCAATCCTGCTGTCCTGGATTCTGCAGAATTCCTAATTCCCAGGGCAAAATCAGAAGTGAAATGGTAGGGACTGATAGAGCTCATGGGAAAAACCTCTCACAGATACTTGTGTGTGACTTTGCAGGGATAAAGGTGTGGATCAATCCCTTCCCCTAATCCAAAACCACAAGGAAAATATCCCGGACGCTCCAAGAACTGAGAGCTGGGCCCCAAATAGGTGCAAAAGCACCATCAGCTTCCCTGTGTGCACACAGTGGGATGGGGAATGCCTGGGAAAAGGAGTCAGGAGTGCTTGGACAGGCAAAGGAGCCCGTGGTTCATGAGGGGATGGAGCGCAGGGTCAGGATTCCTCACTCTGGTTAGGAAGGAATGTTGGTGGAGCAGATTCCCCACCCTGACCCCGGCTTGGCCAGAGCTTCAAAAATACTAAAATACCCCAAATTTAATGAGAAAGGCCCAGAAAAGAAGCAATTCCAGAAGCTGAGCGTTCCTGGGAGCCGACAGAACCTCCCTGAGCCCACGGGATTTTCATTCCCTCCCTCACTCCCAGGTGAGCACATGTGGGAATTCTGCTCCTGGTCACCTCTCCATGTCTCCATGTCAAGGTAAATAAGGACACTCAGGTGCTGGAGGGTTTTTTTTTGGGAATTCTCAGTGGGGAAAGGTTTCCACGGCACCAGGCCCAGCCTGGCTGACCACGGTGACAAACTCGGCCCGTCCACATTCCACATTCCACATTCCACATTCCATCCCCCAGGAACACCCGACCTGCTCCGCAAGCTCCGGCACTTCCCGCTCCATTCCTTCCCCAGGGATGAGGCCATTCCAGCAGCAGCTGCTCCCAGCCCAGCCCACTGATGGGAAGAATAAACAGTGGGAAAAACTGGCAACACCATCAAAATAGGTCTTATTAACACACCTTCATCCTGCTGGGAAAGCCCTTCCCAGGTGGCTCAAACATCCCAAAACACAGAAAAACTCCGTTTTTCCTTGGATATTCCTGAAAGGTGAAGGGAAAAGGTCTCTAATCTCTAAAATTCCAAAAGATATCCCAGTGCCTGGAAGGAATTCGCTCCAACTGGTTTGTTTGGATAAGAGTTCCCATTCAGAGTGTGCAAGAAAAACAACATTTTCCTTGACTTTCATTTCAACTCCAAGCACAAGTTGCCAAAAATTCCAGCTGTTCCAACCCCATTTTATCTTTTTAATAAATAAAAATGGTGTTAAAATTAAACGGGCAGCTCTTAAAGTGAAACACGTGCTCCAAATGCATCGCCAACATCCATAGTCATCCTGCAAGATTCCTGATGGGATAATGAGAGCTGCACCATCCCTCATGTCTGGAGCACCACCCTTTTGGCTGGTCCTGCACTGGGAATGATCCCTGGGAGGAGCAAGATCCAAGGAGCTGAACCAGCAAAGAGCTCGGGAATATTTCCTGGTTGTGGACAAGACAAAACCTGGGATTCCTTTTTTTTTGGAACCTGCTCCTGTAAAGCTTGAGGGCCCTCAGGGAGATGGATAAATTGGGATCTCTGCTCCAAAGCCATCGTTATGTTCATTCCATCAGCACTGGATGGCAAGTCCCGAAGGAACAATTCCATTTCTTGCTGCAGGAAAAGGACAAGTTTTTCCTGTAGAAAATGGGAAATACTTCCAAGGGTGAGCACACAGAATGTGTCCACTCGGCTCATCTTTGTGTCTTCTGCTTCCAGAGTGCTCCCTATCTCTAGAGCCAAAGGATCTCCCTTCCCAGGACCAAATAAACACACTTTCCTACCTGATGGATTCCTGCTGGAATCACCCAAGTCTAAGGAGAAAGTGGGAAAGAGCTCATCCTCCTCCTGATGTCATTCCAGGATGTTCTGTTTTACAGTGGATAATTTTAGCTCCCTTTCTTTTAAGGGAAAGGATGCTGCTTCCCAGGAAAAAGGAACTTTGCAAGCATCCTTCCAGACCCCGGGAGTCACAGAATTCCCTCCTGGCACGTCTCCAAAGGAATGTGCTCCCGGACACCCCCACAGCACAAATGTTAACAAATTCCTGGGAACAGGGAGCCTTTCTCCAGGAAAATGGTGTAGGTGGAAGAAAGGCATCTATTGTTTTCCTGATGTCACCACCCCCCAGAGCTGAGGAGTCTGGAGTTTTTGGCAGCAAAGACCTCCAACATTCCCAAAAATCATCTTCTCTCCGTGACGTTGGCACTGGAGTCACCGAGAGGCCAAAGCAGGAGGGGAGCTGTGTCCAACCCATCCCATTCTGGTTCTGCCAGGAGAGGTCATGGATTGCACCTGGATTGGGGCAATTCCAAGCACAAATCCAGGCTGGATGGAGAATGAGAAGAGACCTGAGGGGAAGGGTTTGGGGGTGTTGGTGGATGAGGAGAGAAGGCTCCAGGGAGAGCTGAGAGCCCCTTGCAGGGCCTGAAGGGGCTCCAGGAGAGCTGGAGAGGGACTGGGGACAAGGGATGGAGGGACAGGACACAGGGAATGGCTTCCCACTGCCAGATGGGATATTGGGAGGGAATTCCTGGCTGGGAGGGTGGGGAGGCCCTGGCACAGGCTGCCCAGAGAAGCTGTGGCTGCCCCTGGATCCCTGGAAGTGTCCAAGGCCAGGCTGGAGCAACCTGGGCTAGTGGGAGGTGTCCCTGCCCATGGCAGGGGGTGGCACTGGATGATCCTTCAGGTCCCTTCCAACCCAAACCATCCCAGGATTCCATGATAATGTAACCAATGGCTTTGAAGCAGAAATCAAACCCAAATTCCCAGGGAATTCCCTGCCAGCTCAGAGGATCTGAACTGCTTTGCTGAATCCCAGTCCCTCCATGTCCTTCAGGGACAGGGAGCATCCCGAGGGGATCAGCTCCAGCCCTGCTCCTGCAAGGACAGCAAAAAGACATTCCATGGAGTCCTAGAAGCAGAAATCCTCCTGGTTTCTGGAAGGGAGGAGCTGATGGCAGCTCTTCCAACACATCCTGTCAGAATCCAAACCAGCTCCCGACTGCTGTGTGACAAGACTGGAGTCAGATCCTTAACCTGCAGCTCCCCTGCCTTGCAGATCTCCCAGCTCCTCCAACCAAATAGATATACTCTCTCCTTCCAAGCTGGTTTTCCTGGAGGATCTCCCAGACACGCTCCAAGATCTGCGGAGCAGCCAAGCACTGGGAGGATGAAGGAGCTGGAATCAGGCAGCTCGAGCTGTCTGGAATTCCACTGATCCAGAGGCTCCTCCACTTCTGTGTCAGAACTGCTCCAGTCTGGGGGGGTTTGCTCTGGAAAACAGCCTGTTTTGGGAAAACTGGGATTAGGAGGGAAGAGAAGCCAAGAGGACTGTCACCTGTCAGTGACAGGACTGCACATGGAACAAATAACACAGACTCTCCAGAGCTTGGAATTACTTCAATTTTCCAGGCCTGGATTGTATTTTAAGAGACTTTTCTATTTGGTCTTGGAATTAGTCATGGAAAAATGGCATTGGAGCAATTCAGGACCGAAGGAGGAGCTGCAGCAACAGGAGGAGCTCCCGTTAACTCCGCTCTCCAAGGATTTGGAAAGGCACAAACCTTCTCTCTTCCAACAGTTTGGCCAAGATTCCTGGTGGTGCCAGGCTGGCACTTGGACCTCCCTCCTCTGGCTCCGAGCAGGCAAGCAGGAGCAGGAGCCATAAATAGGATATTATTCATTTTTATTCTCCCTAAATTTGTCGGCGAAGAACAGGATGAATATTCCTTGCCTGTCTGACAGTGGTGCATTCCACAGGATTCCAGCAGGATGTGTCCCCAGGGAGCACTTGGCCTGAGGCAGGGACAGCAAATCCCAGCAAACAGAGCTGCCCGGGCAGTTTCCATCCTGGCAGGATATTTGTCTTCCCAAAACAATCCTCGGGAAGAACACGGACACTGAGGGGCTTCTCCTCTGCCATGGAACAGCAAATCAGGAGCTCTAGATCAGGGAATAACATCCCTGACACCTCCAGGAGAGCTGGAGAGGGACTGGGGACAAGGGATGGAGGGACAGGACACAGGGAATGGCTTCCCACTGCCAGAGGGATATTGGGAAGGAATTCCTGGCTGTGAGGGTGGGGAGGCCCTGTCACAGGTTGCCCAGAGAATCTGGGGCTGCCCCTGGATCCCTGGAAGTGTCCAAGGCCAGGTTGGAGCAACCTGGGCTGGTGGAAGGTGTCCCTGCCCATGGCAGGGGTGGCACTGGGTGATCCTTCAGGTCCCTTCCATCCCAAACCAGTCTGGGATTCACACCAATACACACCTTAATCCTAAAAAAAACCAGTGCTCTCCATCCCAAACCAGTTTTGCCACAGAATTCCCTCAGGTTCCAGCACAGGCTATCCCAAATACACCCTGTGGAAGGTACAACCACTTCCAAGGTGGATCACCACCCTCAGTCCCTCTTCCCGGCAGGCCACAGCTGATCCACAGGGATGGAGCAGCCCCCCATATCCATGGGGTGCTCCCTATCCCACATCCTGCCTCCCTGACAGGCACAACCCTCTCCAGCTCCTCTCCCTGAAAAGTTTCAGGATGAGTAGGCTGGGAAGCACCTTCCCACTTAATTAAACTTCAGAGTTAATTCTGGAATGACTCAACATTGCTCCCACCCCACAGACTCCTCCGAGTTTGGAATCCTGAGGGATTCCAGCAACTCCTGCCTGGCTCTCCGAGCCCTCCCAGCCATTCCCTGCACAGCCAGGGACCCAATCCCGAGAATTTTCCATAGCTGTGGATTATTTCTTTGATGTAGGAAAGCAGATGCTCCTCAAAGAGAAAGGATTCCAAGGGAAAGGAATCTTCTCCCGTGGGTGGGAGCAGTTTGATCCATAAACCTGCACCAACCCCACCCACAGGCCCTCACAGACCCCCCACAAGGGCTGGGGAGGTCCAAGACCCCTTGACACCCCACTGAGGGGGTTTGGGGGGGGTCTCAGCACCACCTCTCTCCGCTGCCAAATCCATGGGAAGGGGGGACCCTCAGCTCCCCCTCCTGCCCATCCAAGAGGGTCTCAGCCACCCCCTTATCCCCCACCAAAGGGACTCCAGCTGCCTCATTCCCTCTGGAAAAGAGGCTGGAGGGTCCCTCAGGGATTGGGGTCCCCCCCCAGGTCCTCCCTGGGGCCTCCCCTTACAGGCTGGGCTCTTCCCTCGGGGGCCTGGGGGTTCCTCAAGTCCTTTCTCAGAGTTTGGGGTCCCCCCACAGGGGGTCACAGGGGTCCCTCAGCTCCTTCTCAGGGGTCTGGGGGGTCCCTCAAGTGCCCCCTCAGAGGCCCAGGGGGTCCCTCAGCTGCCCTTTCTGAGCTTGGGGTCCCCCATCTCCCCCACAAGGGACAGGGGGTCCCTCAGCCCCCATCAGGGGCCGGGGGCATCCCCAGCTCCCTCTCAGGAGCCAGGTGGTCCCTCATCCCTCCCGTCAGGGACCAGAATCCCTCAGCCCCCCTCAGTTCCCCCCCAGTGACCGGGATCCCCCCGCAAGGACCGGGGTGGGTGTCCCTCACCTCTCACCCCTCGTGTCCCCCCCCGCCACCTCCGGCACCTTGAGCGTCACATCGCAGAGCTTCCCCTGCCGCCGGATCTCGCCCATGACGCCGTAGCCGCGGCTGGGCAGGTCTCCCACCGAGAAATGCACCAGGTCCTCGGGGTCCAGCTCGGGCTCCGCCGCCGCCGCCGCCGCCGCCGCCGCCTCCAGCATCGTCCCGGCCGCTCCCGCCGCGCTTCGCCCCCGCCGCGCGCTGGCCCCGCCCGGCCGCCGTACCCGCTCCGCTTCCGGGACGGGCCGGAAGCCGCCGTTGCCATGGAGAACCGGAAGTGACCGCTGCCATGGCGACACCGGACGCCTCCCCGAGCCGGACCCCCAGCTCGGGCAAGGGGATGCCGAAGGAGTCGCCGCCTCGCTCCGCAAGGGTTAGTCGGTGCTCCTGGCTCTGGGAGCGCGGTCACACGGGCGGCATCAGCCCCCCAGGCATCGCTCTCCCCCTCCCAGCATCCCCCCTTCTCCTCCCCCGGAATGGTTTGGGATGGAAGGGAGCCTAAAGATCATTTTTTCCACCCCGTGCCATGGGCAGGGACACCTGCCACTATCCCAGGTTGCTCCGATCTGGCCTGGGACACTTCCAGGGCTGGGGCAGCCACAGCTTCCCTTGGAAAGCCCCGACCCTTCCAGACGGATTTTGCACAAATTCCTGCCCAAATCTTCTCACCCGAGTTGTGGAACGGGGAACCTCTCACTTCCAAGGCTTTGGAGAGATCACTCAATCCGTGTTTGGTGCAGCAAAACAGGATCAGTTGGTCCCTGTGTATCCAGGTGTTGTGTTTTTCCCATGGAATGGGGTCTGTGTTTCCCTGGCAGGAGGAAGATCAGCAGGAGGAGGTTGAGCAGCTGGAAAAACAACAAGGTTCTGCCTCCTCCTTCCAACAGGTAATCCCAGCTGGGCACAGAATTCCAGGCTGATTTGGGCTGGAAAGGACCTAAAGGATCATCTAATTCCAATCCCCTGCCAGGGGCAGGGACACCTTCCACTAGCCCAGGTTGCTCCAACCTGGCCTTGGACATTCCAGGGATGGGGCAGCCACAGCTTCTCTGGGCAATTCCCAACTCTTGGAGATGGATTTTTCCCGAAGTCCTGCCCACCTGAGCTGTGGGAAGGGGAACTTCTCAATTCCAAAGCCTTGGAGAGATGGCTGAGTCTGTGTTCAGTGTGGCAAAAGGGATCGGTTTTCCCGTGTCTCCAGGTGTGTTTTTCACATGGAATGGGATCTATTTTTCCCTGGCAGGAGGAAGAGAAGCAGAAGAAGGTTCAGGGGTCAGAAGAGCGACGAGGTTCTCCCTCCAAAACAAAGACTAATTCAAGGGTAATCCCAGCTGGGCCCACTTGGAATCCTGGAATGGTTTGGGTTGGAAGGGACCTGAAAGCACATCCACTATCCCAGGCTGCTCCAATCCCCGTCCAACCTGGCCTTGGACACTTCCAGGGGTGGGGCAGCCACAATTTCTCTGGGCAACCTGTTGCTTCCCATCTCCTGGTGTTTACAAACACTCCCAGGAATCGTTGCTTTTATCCTTACATCCAGCAACAGGCATTGTTGCAGCGAGGAAAATTCCACTCCTTTGGAATTTGTTCTCTCTGATTCATGGGAGAATTCTTCCCCAGGATTTTCCCTTCCTCCTTTCCCCTGCTGTACTTCTTTCTTTGAAGAAATAATTCCCAACTGCTCCAATGTTGGGTTTTGGTGTTTTTTTTGGACAGGCTTCTGCGACCTCCAGGAGATCCCAGGCCCAGGAGAAGGAGGAGGAGGAGGAGAAGGAGGAGAAGGAGGAAGGGAACAGCAATTCCTTTCTGTTCTCTGGCAGTGACTTTTCCAGGTATCCCCCAAATGTTTTAAATCCAACAAGTCTTGGTTCAGCCCCAACCTCCACATTTCATTTCAGAGCAGGTAAAATGGTGGAGAGATCCCAAAAATCCTCAATATACAAGAAATTCAAAAGATTTTGTCCCAAACTACAAGTTGTCACTAATTATTACATCATTATTGAGCACAGGCTGTCTGGAGGAAATAATTGAGGGAAAATATGGGATCTACACCTTCCAGGGATTCCCAAATATTCAGTTCATGTGTCTCAGGTGGGAAACTTGTGTTATTGAACACTCCTGTGCCTGGTATACAGGAGGAAATCAGGATAATTAAGACCTTTCTCTTTTCAATTTTCCAAGCAGGACAAGGCTGGAAGGGATTTCCAGCAGCTCTTTGCCCACAGTTGCTTTTCATAAAGAATAAAAATTGCAGCTGAACCTTTACCAAGACTTAATTTTTAAATTTGACTGCTCTGGAGTTCTCCTTTTCCTGACAAATGATATAAATGTCATTTCAGGGATTGCAACATCCTTATTTTCCTGGTTTTTCCCTCTCTGTTTAGAGCCATAAAGCCAATCCAGGCCTTTGTTCGAGTCAAGCCCACAGCTCATTTTGCCCAAGACATGATCAAGTTTGGGACAGACAACAAGGTAGAGTGAAAGAAATTCCCAGTGGGAAGGGTTTGGAGTTTGATTTCAGCTTTGCCCGTGGAGAAGGCAGGATTTTCCCATCCCTTAAGGCCATGGATAACGTTTTGGGGCCTGTTGGTTCCCGTGTTCCTGCCTGACAGTGGTTTTGACTATGGAAAACCCACTTCTGGTGGTACAATCACCAGGAAAACCCTCAGGAGGGCTGGGACTGACTGATCCAGGAGGGATTCCCAGTGGGAACCACGGCTTGGCACAGTATTTCCATCCCCCCTTGTGCAAGTTCCTCCCTTCACCTTCTCTTGCTTAATTCAGAATTCCTCTGAGACACAAAATAATTGAAATTTAAACAGTTGAGCTTAACCACATTTCTTCTTTATTTAGAATAATTACCCCCAGAAATTCGAGAGTATTGCCAGGTATTTTTAGGACATCCATAACCATCCAAGGGAGTAAAATAATCCTGGTGTTTGTGCTCCCTTTCCTACTTAATTCCAGGTCCCCAATCCCTGGAGCTCCTCACGGCTGTTGAATTGATCTCCCTCTCTTTTTGGGTTGCAGAGCATCGACATCCACATCGAAAAAGATGCCAGGGGAGGGATTGTGAACAACTCCTCCACTGACTGGTCCTTCAGGATGGATGGGCTCCTCCACTACACCTCCCAGGACAAGGTTTATGAGACTGTGGCCAGGCACTTGGTGGCTGAAGCTTTATGTGGCCACAATGGTGATTTATTGCTGTTTTTGTTATTTTGATAATAAATAAGGGTTTGGTTTGAGGACAGATCCACTGGCTGTTCTGTTTGAGGCTCCCCCCCCCTGAGTTTATCCTTTTGGTTTGGGATTTTCCAGGCACCATCATGTGTTATGGGCAAACTGGGGCTGGTAAAACTTACACCATGACTGGATCAACCACTGAGTACAAGCACCGGGGGATCATCCCCAGAGCTATCCAGCAGGTACTGGATCTGGGAAAAGGGGGCTGGGAGGAATACCAGGGACACCTCTTGTATCTGCTCTCGCTGATATAAAAGTGTTTTAACACAGTGAATATGATTTATGTCTTTTTTCCCCCCTTCATTTCACCCAAGGGATGAGGATTAAAGAAATAAAGCAGCTTGGGTGTCATTCACAGAGCTTTAGTTCTACCTGCTCGTGGAAAATTCTTGCTGCTCCCCAAAGGTCACCAAGCCTTCAAAAGGGGTGTTTTCCAAGCTATCATTTTGTGATATCCTGTTAAAACTGATCAGAAAACCTTTAAGCTTGGAAAATACCTCTAAGGCCCTGGCACAGGTTTCCAGAGAAGCTGTGGCTGCCCCTGGATCCCTGGAAGTGTCCAAGGCCAGGTTGGAGCAACCTGGGCTGGTGGAAGGTGTCCCTGCCCATGGCAGGGGGTGGCACTGGGTGATGCTTAATGTCCCTTCCACCCCAAAGCATTCCTGGATTCTCTGATTCCATAAGATCATTGAATCCAAATCCAAGTCGAGCCCTCAGGCAACCACGGCTCACATTTAGCTCCACACACCCAAATGTACTTGGAGCTGCTCAGAAATATCTCTATATACACATCTCTACATATCTTATATAAATGTGTAGCTTAAAACCTAATATCTTATATCTATTTATATCTTATATCTATTTGTGTCTTATATCTATTTTAATCACACCTATTTTAATCTTATATCTATTTATATCTTACATAAACATCTACATAGAAATATGTCCTCTGGGAAGCCATAAATAGCTAAAAATCCTGTCTGTGAACGGAGACAAGCTCTGTGTCATTGTGCAGGTCTTCAAAGCAGCTCGAGAATCCACCACCCTCCTCACCAGTGTCCGAATTTCCTACCTGGAAGTCTACAATGAGGCTCTGTTTGACCTCCTGGGCCCTGGTGGTTCCAGGAACATCCCCCTGGCTGTCCTGGATTCCCCTCAGGGGGTTTGTGTCAGGGGTCTGTCCGTCTATACTGTCAGCAACGAGAAGGAGGCCCTGAATCTCTTTTTTGAGGCAAGAGAACCCAAATATTTCCTTTATTCTCTGTATTATTTTGTTGGCTGAGGGAGGAGGCAGGAAAGCAGGAGGTGTGTGGCCAGGAGGGTTGGTCAACCAACACTCCTTGTTCTCTTTGTTGTGGGTGGAACATCTTTGCAGCCCTTGTTCTCCCAAGGAAAACGTCCCTGGCATAGGGATTCTGGGAGATGCTCCAAGAAAAGGGTCTTTGGCAGATAGTTTGGGGTGATCATGGTTAGATTTTACAGCAGGGCTGTTCACACAATGGATTGGATTTGTGAGGGAAGTCTGATTGCTTAGAGCAGCATCTTTTCCTTGTGGCTCCTTCAGTTCATGAGGAAAACAGGAATAAATGGTTGGATCTGGAAGCAGGAAGTGTGTTCTCACCCAGAGCCATCTGGTGCCCTTAAAACCCTTCTCTGGCCTTTTTAATGACAGGCCTGTGGTGTCCTGAGCTCTGGAATGTGCTGGAAATCCCTTTTTAAAGAGCAGAGGGATGCTGATGAGGGCTGGGATTGCTGGGGTTGTTCACCTGGAGAAGGGAAAGCTGCTCTTCTGCGGGAAACTGAAAGATCCAGGGAGGTGTTCCCTGGCTGTTCCTCAAAAAGCCACAATCCCATGAGCTGAGCCTTGAATTTTGTCTCCATTTGCAGGGTGACAACAACAGAGTGATAGCAGAGCACGCCCTGAATAAGAATTCCTCCAGATCCCACTGCATCTTTA